TTTCTCTTGCTGCTTCTAGAATTCTCTCCTTCATTTTAATCTTGGCTAATGTAATTATGATGTTTTGGTGTGTTGTTCCTTGGGTCCAACTTCTTTGGGACTCTCTTAGCTTCCTGGACTTCCTGGAAGTCTAGTTCCTTTGCCCGATTGGGGAAGTTCTCCTTCATTATTTTTAACTTTTTCATTGTTGGACTTCCATACAGTTCAGTTTTCTAGTAGTTATGGTTGTTTATTGTTTTAAAATTTGTTGTTGTCCTTCTTTTGGTTATGTGAGGAGGCAAAGTATATTCTATCTATGCCTCCATCTTGGCTGGAAGTCCTACATAAGTATTTTAAAACTGTACATTTTAGGCAGCTTCTGTCCCTTTGTCTCCTAATCTGAGCTAGCCACCTGTGCTCAGCTGCCACTCTGTCACGTGGTGGTGGGGGTGAGAGGTGGGTGGGGGTCAAATCACTAGCTGTGAGGACCCTAGCTCTGGGTGGCAGGAGGAAAATGAGCCAGAGAGCCAAGCTGCTCTTAAATTGGAAGCCTTCCCTCTCACTCAGCAGATGGAGATTCGTGGAATAAATGCTTATGAAAATCAATCTGCTAATTAATCATCCAAGCTCCTTCTTTAAAGCTTATATATTAATTATTCTTCCCTCATCTGCTTTCTGTATTTTGCTGTGTATAATGCATGCTTCTTTGCCCACATTTTTGAGGGGAAAATAAGGATGTGCATTATACATGGGTATAATCATTACATACCATGGGTATAACAATGGATATAATAATCCCGTGTATATGTGCATTATACATGGCAAAATATGGTACTTCAGTTTCTCAGCCAGCCAACCCAGACTCCCTTTATTTTTTATTCAGCATACTTAAAAAAAAGTCACTATTCTGCTGAGCATCAGAATCCATTAGAACCCCCAGTCCTGATTTGAATCCAGGGAGAAGCATTTAACTCCCTTGTACTCCCTCGCCTTTACCCTCAGTCTAGCCAGATGCTGGGTTTTCGCATACTTGGTCTCCTCAGCATTTAAAGCATCAGACACTTACCTGGCCTCTGATTTTGCCAGAGTCCGGGTGTCATCTCCTGTTGTGCCTTACGAAGTGTCAGGCCCTGTGCTGGGCCGGTTCCCTGGTGTTGCAGTCCCAAACTGTTGTGTCCAAGGTGGTAACAGGGGCGTGTATGCGAGGGGAGGGTGACGTATTAGCCAAGCAGTCGGAGAAGTTTTTAAACAATGTACTAGCACCCGCATGTGCGTAATGCGTATCATCGTTTTTCAGTTTCTGAAAGGTTCTATTCTGCTGGTACCCGCTGCATTCTGCCACCAGACTTGGCCCGGCGCCCTCTCTCCCTGTGGAACTCCTGTGAATACCCTCTTTCTTGGCCCTCAGTGGGACTGCTGCATCCGTGGCACCCGGGCTCAGGTCCTTCGGGTAGTCAGCCTTTCAGAAAGCACTCAGGGCTGGGGCTTGCCCGCTGGGCTCTAGAGTCATCCTCTCTTAAATAAAAGGCAAAAATTGTGCTGAAAGTCCCTGCCAAACCGTGGCTGGGTTTTTGTCTGTCACTGGGATATTTTTACCCTGTGAGTTCAGATGCACAGAATCCTTCCACCAGGTGTCCACGCGACACCCCATTCTTCCGTGTGTACTTAGAACGTGGCTGCATTTTTTTCAGGTACATATAATCAAATACTGTCAGGATACATTAAGAAATTATAAGTAAACTACTTTTATTACAGACGTATATAAATTTCTTGAATGTTTCTCTTTATTAGTTGCCTCAAAAATTGGAGTTGAATATATTTTACTAGTCATTTGATACATTTCTGCTTCTTGTGAAGTCGTATGTAACCAAAACTTGTCTTCACCTTGTTATGTCAGAAGCCTCTTAGTGTCTTAAGAATATGTTGTAACTCTTTTTTGGACTCTTTGTAGTGCCCAGTGTGTAGGAGCAACGAATTACTGACTTGACCTGAGGATTTATTAATGACGATGGTTAACCTCAGTCAATTCACAATTGAAAAAGGTTTCTAATAACTTGATAAGTGGTGTTAAATGCAATAATCAAGGAGGAGATAGTGAGGTTAAGATCAAGAATAGTTAGAAGCATTCAACCCGACCTAATTGGCATTTATAGAACACCCGCCCCAGAAGGACTTAAAAATATGCCTGATTAGTCATACCTGCATATACGCGGAGGGAGAGAAGTGTAAAGGAACTTCATGGCTACTGCCATTGTCTCGAGGATGCTGGGCTGGGCTGTGGGGGAGGGCGATGAGGACACTGCCCTGTGCCAGTGCCCGTGTAGTCCTGTTTGCAGCCACCAGAAGCCACATGCTGTCAGATGACCCTTCGTGCCATGGCATTGGTTTCAAGCCCAAAGATTTGCATGCAGACATTTTTCTGAGCCAGTACATTAAAGCAAAAGGGTTTTAATAAAGTTCTCATTTGGATGACTTGTCTACTTTAAGTTTCTGAAAATGTCATGAGTATGTAGGAGAGCATTCTCATACGTACATTTTAAGAGAATCCTAGCGCGTTCCCTGTGAGACAGACCAGTTACCCTGTTTTGAATAGCCACCCTCTGCATTCCCTGGGAGGCAGAAAGACCCTGAAGAACTGGAGTGAAAGAGGTGAAACCCGGGAAATGTGTCCCTGTCTATTTGGCTCAATTGAATTAGCATCCTTAATTGGGCCTGCTGCTGCTTGTCCGTGACACTTAACGTGATGGATGCTGATAAGAGCTCCTTAGGAAATTTGGCAGTGTTTTCTCAGCCATTGATGAATCCCGGGGATGTGGGGTTGGCAGTGGAGAAAACGGAGGAGATACGGGAATGGCAGTCAGCAGTCTGGCTCTGCAGCCTGCAGCGGACGCTCCTCTTGTTTACGTGCAAAGTGGGACGAACCTGAGCCACGAGGTGCCTCCTCTCCTACCCTTAGATTCAGGGGGCACAGCTGAGGAGTTTGGGAGTCTCTCAGTTTCCTTTTACCCCTGTGTGTTTGCTTTTAAAAAGGTAGAAAAACGAGCCTGTTGTTCTTCCTAATGTTAGGCAAACGATTTCAGGTATTTTACCATTAGCATTTAAATTTTTTTTAAATTACAGTTTACATTTAATATTATTTTGTATTAGTTCCAGGTGGTTAGCATAGCCGGTAGACAGTTGCACACCGTACAAAGTGTTCCCCACGGTGCTCCTGCTGCCCACCGGGCCCCCCCTGCAGTCGTGATGGTACCACGGGCTGCGGTCTCTGTGCTGTGTTCTGCTCTCCCGGGACTCTTTGTAATCACCAGTGTGTGCCTCTCAGTCCCTTCACGTTTTTCACTCAGTTCCCCAACTTCCCTTCCCTCTGGCAACCATCAGTCTGTTTTCATAGTATCTGTGAGTCTGTTTCTGTCCTGTTTGTTCATTTCTTTTGTTCTCTGGATTCCACAGATATGTGAAATCTTAAGGCATCTGTCTGACAGACTTATTTTATGTAGTGTAATGGCCTTATATCCTCTTGGCTCATCCATACTGTCATAAATGGTAAGATTTCTTTTCTCTCTTTTTCGTGGCCAAGTAATATTCCCTTGTATATACAGGGTGTGTAAAAAGGTAGGTCTACAGTTGTGAGGACATGAATCACAGTTTATTACACAGTTTATTCTTGCACCACTTATTAGTTATTGTATTATTTTCTGTATGAACGACTGTTAACCCACTGCTGCCCCACCCTGTATGTACCACAGCTTTTTTCATCTGCTCCTCTGTTTTATCTACCTGGGCTGCTTCCGTATCTTGGCTACTGTAAGTGACACAGCAATGAGCATAGGGGTACACATATTCTTTCAAATTGGTGTTTTGGGTTCCTTTGGATATATACCCAGAAGTGGGATGGCTGGGTCCATAAGGCAATTCCATCTTTAATTTTTTGAGGAAACTCCATACTGTTTTCCACAGTGGCTGCACCAGTCTGCATTCCCACCAACACTGCACTAGGGTCCTCTTTTCTCCACATCCTCACCAGCACTTGTTACTTATTGATGTATTGATGATGGCCACTCTGACCGGTGTGAGGTGGTATCTCATTGGAGTTTTAATTTGTATTTCTCTGACGATTAGTGACATCAAACATCTTTTCACATGTCTTTGGCCATCTGTATGTCCTCTTTGAAGAAGTGTCTATTTAGGTTCTCTGCCCATTATTGGATGTACCATTGGCTAATATTTTCTTCCATTCAGTGAGTTGTCTTTTTGCTGTTGTTGACGGTTTCCTTAGTGGCAAAAACTTTAGTTTGGTATAGTCCCGTTTACTTTTTTCTTTTGTTTTTCTTGCTCAAGGAGATATATCAGAAAAGATATTGCTAAGAGAAATGTCAGAGATTTTGTTGTCTGGGTTTTCTTCTGGGACTTTTACAGTTGTGAGTCTTGCATTTAAGTCTTTAATCCACTTTGAGTTTATTCTTGTATGTGGTGTAAGAAGGTGGATAAAGAGCCTATTCATGAAATAGAGTTGGGGAAATTGGATATATATGCGCAAAAAAATGAAAACAGTAGCAATTTAATGTAAGAGGAAAGCAGGGAGGCTGGACTCCCGCTCCCGAAGTTGCACCTTGCTGTCTGGCTGAGGCCAGGAGTGTCCTCCACAGTCACCAGGGCAGGGCAGTGAGAAATGTGAGTTCGGACGTGGAGTGGGAGACTTAGCCAGGAAGCCCGACACAGATAATGCAGGGCAGAGCTGCTCCTGGCGTGTTCCTGGATGGGGGCCACAGAGTCACCGGAGGTCACTGTTTCCAAGTCGGATTTCTGGGCCCAGCCCCAATGCTGCCGGGACCTAAACTCAAGGGCGGAGTCCAGGGATCCAGTTTGAGAACTCACGGGAAAGCCATTTGAGACAGAGACTCAACCATGCTGTCATCATAGAAAGTCTCAACTACCCTTATTTCAAAACCACATTAAAAAATAGCCATTTCACTATGCATTGCCATTGATAGACACAATCTTTCTTTTTTTAACCTTTCAAGTACATGAGCAACGTGGACTCCTGGTGCAAAGCCTGTGGGGAGGTGGACCTGCCATCGGAGCTGCAGGATCTGGAAGATGCCATTCATCACCACCAGGGAATATATGAGCACATCACCCTGGCTTATTCCGAGGTGAGTGGTCAGTTCAACTTCAGCCACAAAGCAACAGTATTTTTGTGTCATAGCACAAGAGCTGGGTGGGGGTGGGGGGATGGAAATGTTGGCTAGGCTAGAAAAACACTTTTGATTTTTTTAGTGGAAACCACCATTTTATTGTAAATTTTGAACTTGAGTAGGGGGTGAAAGCTAGTGAGGAAAAGAGGGAGGTGGGCCGTGAGCAAAGGTCTCGTGGCCCTGCCACATTTGTGGATTTCCTTTAGAGGGCTTAGATTTTCATCTGCTAACACGAATGGGTTTCCAGTCTTCTTGTCTACATGGATTTAGGAAATACACATTTGCATGCTGTTCAGTCTAGCCAAACTCTGTTTAACCCTCCTGAATGGAACTTTCAGAAAAGAGGCAAACCCAGTGCAGCTTCATGTTCTGGATTACAAAGCACCCACTGTTTCCTTCCAAGTACGTAAAGCCAGTTGCTGTTTTAGAAATCTGTGTTGCTGTTTCTGTGTCGTTTTAGGGTGAATTATTTAATGTAATTACTCTATCTTCTGCCACCTTCTTTCATGTCAGGCTTTGTTGTATGGACTTTATGTAATCACTTATCTAATGCTCACAACTCTGGGGCTTGTGGTGTTCTTAACCCCGCTGTTACAAAGGGGGAAACTGAGGCTCAGTGATGCGGTGACTTGTGCCAGGTCAAGAGCTCTGGGAGGTGGAGCCAGAATGTGAGCCCAGGCAGGCCGGCTTCATGCTGTCAGCTGCCTGGGTGTCATATCACATGCTAGGCACGGTGATGGGGACAACTGCAGAAAGGTTGAGGCGTGTCACTCTCGGCCACATCCTGGTTGTCTGGCCCTTCAGGCCAGCCTGCCTTCATGACATGGGCTCATTCCTGGAGGTGAGTGGGAGTGCACAGGAATTCCACGCGTGCTTGTTTTTCCCAGGGCTTTCTCCATTCTCTTTTAATAATGAGCCTCTGTAATGCTGTGGATGCCAGTGGGAAAGGTTAGTGGGAGGCTTATGAGGTTAGTGAGAAAGGTTAGTGAGAAAATGTTTCACACCCACTGGCAGAAGCCTGGGCACAGAGTAGATATTTAGTAAATGTTTAATAGATCTTTAAAGCCAAATCTTGTGCGATATGAACCACAGCCACTGTGAAAGTTATGGGGAAGAGACTGGCCATTTGCTTTTCAGTCTGGCGCTTCCCGCTTCCCCACGCTGCCACCCTGACCTGATCCCTGAGTGCCCAAGGGGAACTAAAGATGTCCGGTGCTTTGAAATGTGGTCACACCTCCTTCCCGTGGGAGTTGATATCTACATGTTTGTTTCTCTAGCCACCTTTTTTGCCTGACAAGATCACTTTATCTTTTTTAGCACTGTTTTATATTGTCCATGTAATTAAAAAATAGCCCCCTCTATACTTTGCTTCTGAATTTTTCATCCAGTGTTTATTAACTAGTTTGATTATCTAGTCTAATGGGAACCGCATAAGTAGGTGATAGCTAGCCTTTTTTATAGTAAACATGAAATTTGGACAGATCTGTGATTTTGCATTGCACTGATTCATGAAGCTTTGGAGTTCCAAAAGTGTTAAGTTCCCGAGTGTCCCATCTCTGTGCGTTGTCTGATTCCAACCTGTGATTCAGAAAGTGAATGACCCTGTTGTCCACCGCGTCAGGAGGCCTTCACTCATCCACCTACGAAGGACGGCCTCAGGGTCTGCTCTCTGGTTGCAGTCCCAGGTTGTAGACCGCTGAGGGGTGGGGGAGCTCACCAGGGGGTGGGCTACCGCCGTTGCCTGCGTGACTTGCCCAGAGTCAGTGAGACCTGACTGACCATCTCTGTCCAGCTGGCCGGTTCCGTCTGCCTGTTGCCCCAGGTATTTCTAGCAAAGTGCAGAATTTTTTCACTGTTATAACCACATTCCATAAAAGTGGGGCGTCTTGACATGGAAACTTATGTTTACCTATGGCACAGCTCATTTGATTTTAAGTTGGTACTCATAATTTGGTGGCAGGTGGACAGCTTCCCAGGCTGGGGTCTCCAGCCACAATTTTGAGTCCTTGGGCTGTATACTCAAGGAGACAGTAATTTGAACTACATGAATGGGAAAGATTTTCAGTAGAACAGAGTGAATTTTTATTTTCTTTTTAAACTATTTAAACTTTGAAATGGTTTCAGGCGACGGAAGCATTAGAACAGAAGCGCTCCCATGCACCCTTGACCCAGATTTGCCCACTTTTAAAGGTTTCACATCTGCCTCACTCTCCCTCCTTCCCCGTCTCTCCAGTCAGCGCGTCAGCACTGAGGCCCCACAGCCGTCCTGCCTACAGGCCCGTCCATTGTTTCCACCCGTCTGGCCGTGGCTCTGTCTTTCTCTTCCCTGGCCCTGGATGCTGCCCAGCAGCCTGCACTACAGTGGTGGGCACATCTCCTGCTCCGTGTAACTTTCTTTAGTCTTGTTCTGCCTCGTGTCTTTGGCAGTCTTAGAGAGCACAAGCCTTTCGTTCTGTAGGTAGGATGACCCCCAGTCTCCCTCCCCATTCAGTTTTGCTTACGGGCAGACTGGGGGTCACAGCAGGTCCTGGGAAGCAGACCCATCCGGTCACTGATCACCTTGACCTCTTAATAAGGTTGGTTTCTGCAATGGAAAATCATCATCAAAAAGTTGTCTTTGATGAGCATACTGTGAAGGGATGCACTGATAGAACAGCACCTGTTCCTCATCAGACTGTCCCCGTGGCCTTAGCATCCGCCGGCGAGTCCTGCCCATGTCACTTGCCACGACGACGATGGCTGTCTGATCGTTCATTTCCGTCATTCCTTCTGGGTTTACTAGGTGACCTTTTGTACCATAAGGAAGAGCTTTCTTTTCTTATTTATTTATTTATTCACTCATTCATTCATTTATTCATTCTATTTCAATATGGATTTACAAAAATCTTTTTATATTCAACAGGTTATAATCCAGTACTCTGTATTGATCCCTAAATTATCCACATTTGGCTAGCAGGAGCCCCTTTTTGTGCTTTTTTCTAAATATATATCTTATCGTTACTTGAGCATTACTTTCTAGCGTAACAACATATGGCCGGACTCATCTTGCCCTTTCCCTGCCTCATGCCTGAAATCAGCGGCCTCACCAAGAAGCTGTGGTTCCTTGCGCTACTGTGTGGTGTTTAGAAACAGCATCTGGGTGCTCAGAAGGGCTTATTTGCTTGGGGGGCGGGTGTCTGTGCTGCTCCATCCTCTGACAGAGTCAGGAGATGGGACACCCATCCCACAGAAAGGTCACTGTGCCCCTGCCGAGAATGCAGGGTCATTTACGAGTAGGAATTTTATGGTCGAGGCTTGCTCTTCTGTTTTCTCTTCTCTCCTCCCTCCATCCCACAATTGTTCTCTTTAAACAGCGCCTATGGTTTCCAGGCTTCGATGATACAAGTTCGCAGTGGGAGACCTTCCCACCACGTTTTTCCAAGACCCAAACACCTTCTTTTCTGTGGTTTAATTAGACCCGTCCCATGTTGCTCCTGTTTGTGTTTTAGCAACAGGAGCGTACCTGTGCCTCGTAAACACTCGCCTGCTTCAGCTTGCCAGGTTAGGGGTCACGGTGTCTGACGTGGCTCATCCCAGACGGCGAAGCAGTGTGGACGTCTGCGATAAGCTGTCGGTGTAGACACAGCATGCGAGTGGTTATTTTTAACATCTGAAGTAAGCAGACTCATCGACTACTTTTTCAACAAACTAAATTCATGCAGATGATGTTATCTCAGCATGCCCATGCCTACCTGTAGACCTAAGCACCAAGAATTTGAACCGCGAGGTAAGACTGTGTGTATACTAAGTCCGGGCCCCTGCGGGCGGCAGTTCTTGGAGGAGAAAGGTGAAGTTCCACGTGGGCTTTGGCCCACACCCATCCAGTGCGACTCCAGGGTTTAGTTTCTGCATCAGTTTTTTCTCAACTTAACAAATGTGCTGAGTTACTGCACACTCCAGCAGGACCTTGTGGGAGCGACTGATTTGCTGCCTGCAAAACTGGTCAAGCTCCTTCTCTAAGACGCTAGGTAGGTGGGTGGCATGATTTGTGTTATTAGTATGGGGGAAAACAAACAGTAAAGTGAGTCATCTGGTTAGTGAATGGACTGAAATAATGTATCTGTGGTGTGTGGAAGCTCGTCCACAGAGTAACGTCTATGAAGCGGTTGTTACAAAGCCTCATTACGCGTTGCAGCTCTAAGTAGATGTGCAGGTGCTGGAGTCATCGTTTGGCACTGCATCAGAGCTGCCAGCCCGCTCGGCAGTCTCTCTCCTTCCCCCAAGACTCAGCCTGAGGCCTTGCAAGGGCTCGACATACAGGAGCAAAAAAGGTCAAGCCCAAGTGGAATCTGCAGAACACACAGGTGTTCTCTGCATACATCTGACTTAACTAACCCAGCAATGTCTGGTTTTGGTTTTGGTTTTTCCTTTCTGATAATCTCAGAGGTGTCAGAATCAAACAGAATTAGATTGACCTGGTTGTGAGTAAGAAACCCAATACCTGAAAGAAATAGGCTAGACCTCTCCAGGGTGATTTCTAAGACCTTAGCCTAGGGAAAGAACCACCTCTGAGGGGAGCCCAAAGCTCTGAGGGCAAGGATGCTGCGTCTCCTCTCCCAGGGGCCTCGCTGAGGCCTGGGGCAATGCAGAACCAGGAGGGGACTTTGTGGCCTGTGTTGTTGGTAGGAGCTTCTTGGTGCAGCCTTGTTAAGACAGGTTTCACCTCCTTCCTCGAAGACAGTGTTCACTTGTGTGGCTGAGGAGTGTCCCTCGTAGCTACAAAATAAGCTGGGTACTCAGGTGCTGACGTCTTTATCACTCTTTCCTGCTTTGCTAAAACTAATTTTTTTTTTTTAAGAATAATTACATAAGAGTCGGAAAGCATAGTGGTGGCTGTGAAGCCATTTCCAGGCTTAGCGTGGAGGTGTGTCCTCTCCAGAGAGAGGCCAAGTCCAGAGAAAAACCAAAACGGGCTTTGG